TGAGGGTCCTGGGGATCACACTCAGGTCAGCCTTGGTGGAAGGTGACCTTACCTGCTAAGCTACCTTTATTTGTTGTTGTTGTTGTTGTTGTTGTTTTAAAAATACTGGCCCTTAACCACTCTCTTCATGCAAAGTATACTTGCATGAGACCTGTCACCCAGTGAGGGGCTGGCAGGGGGGCACAGATGACACATACCCTTTCTCCCCAGTGAAAAGACCATCTCCCCTTCTCTAGAGTAACAGACAGACCTACAAACAAGGGCTTTCATGGCTAAAAGATTTTCCCCTTCTGGAGGTTTCTGGTCTGATCTTAGGGACCCAATCAAAAGGTAAAGATGACTCACTATCAAAGACAAAGGCTGATCCATCTTGGAAAAAACAGGCAATACAGGTGACCTATATTCCTGGTATTCCATATTCTTGGTAAAAGGACATAAAATTAATCATGGCCTTCTTCATCCTCCATATCAAAGTACAAGACTTCAATATTTCTCAAATGTGGATTTGTTTTCATATTATGAGTCAGGGAGGAAAAGTAACACCAGTACCTTTTGCTTGGGTTGATATATGTGATGGCCAGAGAGACTTTTTTTTTTTTTTAAGCCTCCTTTGATATTCTATGTATGGTATGAGCTTAGTTTCCTACTTTGTCCATGACTAGAGAAATTAGTTTGGGCACTATTAGAGATTCCAGAATAACTATGCCACAAGACAGAACTTTTCTCTTGGAAAGCCAGCATTTTTTATGCATCCCCCACATTACCTCAAAGATGGTCCTTTCCAGGTATAATTCCATTAACTTCTGGGTAAAACATGCAACCTTCAGACTACCACAAGAATGCTGGGAATGGCATGTATATGCAGCAAACAGGCCTAAGCAATGTTAAGAAGATGGACTTCCAGGCTGTCTCAAACTCTTATCTGTGCAGCAAATGAGACAGCACACAGCCCATTAGGAAGCCCAAGACAACAGAGCCCATGCAGAGCTAAACTTGGTATCTCCAGTGTTGCCAAAGCAGTAGCAGAGAGAAAATTTGCAGAAATACAGTGTTATATGTCTCATAACCCATTTATCAAGGGTCTGCCCACCCTTGTATGCACCAGGCTTCCTTGGATGGTTCAGTACTAACTCAGGTCCTTTTATTGTTCAATCGAGAATTCTGCTAGAACAAAGCACTCAGCATCAAGGAGAAAACTTATCTACTCTTCCAGCCATGGGACACAAAGTACTTTTCATTCCCTGGAGCTACTTTCATTAAAAAGGTAAATGGAAAATAATCATGAAATACTGCTCATTGCTCTTGCAATGTAGCAGCAGCTGGCTCTGAACTCCAGATTCTCCCACTTCAGTCTCCTGAGGGCTAGGTGTGCAGCATCATATCTATCTACCAAAGAAGTCTTCAAAGATAACTGGGTAATGACTTGAAAGGCTGTGCTTCTTTCTAACTGGCTGCCTTACTTTATCGTTTCTTGTCCCAGTGAAAGTACTTAAAATAGCTTCTGTATTTTTTTTTCCTGAAGGAATAAATACTTCTAAGCATTTAATTTTTAGTTGGCTAGAAAAAGTTGACATTGGTCTCTTTTCCCTTTATGCTCATATTTATGACATAAATGACATATTCCTTGTTTAAGCAAACTTGCAGAGTCTTTGTCAGCTAATTTACCACCCCAACCCCAAGATCAGTTCATGGGTAACAGGCATAAAATCATGAGACAGACATCTGCTATAGGATAAAACAGAGGACCTGTTTATGCGGGCTTTGAAAAAGCTTAAGTACAGATAGACATTAATACAGAATTACTGTTTTCTGTAACTTCCTCCTAAACAGGAGAGACTAGGCAACAGTATAATTCTACCTGCTTTGTCACCATCCTGGTATACTTACATCTGGCACCCTCAGGAATCTGCTCTGTTCCTTGGCCACAGGCAGAGTGCTAACCCCACTGACCCTCTTAGGACACACACCTGGGACCTGATTGCTGTTAATGGCAACAGTTCATCACTTCATTACTCCCAAGATTCCTTTAGTATAAACAGGGTACATCTTATAGTTCTTCAAGCACAAAGCTCCCATCACCCTAGCTTTTCAGTTCATGGTGAGTCTACTTTTTGATTTTGTTTTACCTTCTGCATATATTTAAAAACCATGCAAACATATTTAAAAAAAAAAACATTCAATGCAAGTACTGCAGGTGGGTATGACTGGACTATTTTGCTATGAAGCTTGAGTCGTGTTTAAGTAATGAAATAAACAGAAACTGAAAGGCAGAGCATGCACCAAGAATGATCTCTCAATCTGTACCTTTAATAATATCCTCAGCTCAGGAAAGCTCACACCTTCACAACTTGCTGACTCTCAAGAGATGACCAATGTCACCCACCTCACATTTGAAAAGAACAACTTCTCTGCTTCCTTTCTTAGGAAAGGCAATTTCTCTCTTGACCAAATGTTTACTATAGAAAATAAAAACCAGAGAAATAAGTAAAAAATACATTTAAAACATTCTTAAGTACACTGAATGAGAGCTTACTTTATTACTTGTAAGGTCCAAAATCAATGCAAAATAGGGTTAAGGGTCACCTCTGACATCAAGCAGGTGGTCCAGTCATAATCTTCCCAGGATTCAAGTAGGACTCTGGGGATGTCACTATGGCCACAGCTGTCGAAGCCAGGAGACTCTCTTACAAGGCCCTGCCAAGGAGCTTCTAGACCCGAGTGAGCAGTATTTCATGCTGAATTGGAGCTCCAGGGAGGGATCAGCCCTTTCTTTTCACTGCTAAAGTTCTGATCCTAACTTCTGCCTTTCCATCAATGGGAACTCTGTCTTCCTGTAAGTACTTGGTTCTTTGTGCTCAGGAATTACTCTAAAGCAAATTCAACCACCGCTGCATGGCAGACCTTGAAATGTCTGAAGACCATTAGGACATAGTCCCTTCTCTGCCAAATAATTCTGCAAGATGAAACACCAAAGCTGAACAGGTTAAAGTGAGCCAGCACAGACCTAACTGGTCTTGAACTTCCATCTGACTTGTACTTGAGGAAGCCTCAGTGTGTACAGCACTGAAGGGCACCTAGCCACTGCCCTTGGAGCATAAGAAATTCTGTAGACAATGTTAATCTTGGTTAATATATGTGTGTGCTCAGTATGCATTAGGATCTATTTATGGCTGACTTTGTTTTAGATGGAAGAAGAAAGATCTGCATATTTTCTTGCCAGAAATATGAGAAAATGCTTTACAAGGCCTCATTACTAATGAAATGGAGATTTTTTTTTTTTTTTTTTTTTTTTAGAAAGGGTTTCCCCATAACCCCCCCTTTCCT